GAGAGTCAGCTCTAGCCCTGGAGCTACGGTCTAGTGTTCACTCTCAACACTGTGACCCCCAGGGATTCCTGGTGGTCGCAGTGGTGAGAGTGAACTCTAGCCCCATAAAACACACTGCCCACACACACACCATACACATTCACACACTGCCCCCATACACACCATACACATTTACACACATTGCCTCACACACACACATACACTGCCCACCCATATACACACAGACCCCCATACACAGCCCCCCATACTAACATTGCCACACACATACACAGCCCACACACCCCACACATTCACACACTACACCCCCACACACACACTGAACCTTTCACACACATTGCACCACTGCTCCTATTCCCTACTACAGCCTCATATCCCAGCAGACCCCAGATAAGTTGTCAAACTGTTCTTAAACGGTTTGACTACTTACTCTGGAGCAGTAGTGGTTATTGTGCATGGATTATTTCTTTAAATAATCTACAAGTGCCCCAGTAGCCAGCCAGCCAACCCACAGGCTGGCCAGTAACCAGCCAGTTAGCCAGCCCACAGGCCAGTAGCCAGCCCACAGGCCTACAGCCAGCCACAGGCTTACAGCCAGCAAGCCACAGCCTGCCAGCCGCAGCCTGCCAGCCGCAGTCAGCAAGCCCACAGCCTGCCGGCAGTAGCCAGCAAGCCCACAGCCTGCCAGCCGCAGCCAGCAAGCCCACAGACTGCCAGCCAGCAACAGTAATTATGGTAAGAGGAGCCAACTTGGCTTAGGTATCAGCGAGCTATGTTGTGTTGCTATATTGTGAATAGGAACCAGAGTGTTGGAGAGGCCACCCTCCAGGCCCCATTAGACTCTAGCCTCTGCTAGAAATCCCCTCCATGGCCCATTAGCCCTCAATTGTAGTTTCTACTGGGGCCTGGAGGCGACTGTTTCCAGCAGGGGATATCTAATGGATGCTGAGATGGCCTCTGCTAGAAAGACCCCCTTCCAAGCCTTTTAGACTCCATTGTAGTCTCTAATGGGGCTTGGAGGGGATTCTATCTAACACACTCTCTAAAGGACACTGAGATAGCCTCCGCTAGAAAGACCCCCCTCCATGGCCCATTAGCCCTCAATTGTAGTCTCTACTGGGGCCTGGAGGCGACTGTTTCCAGCAGGGGATATCTAATGGACGCTGAGATGGCCTCTGTTAGAAAGACCCCCTTCCAAGCCTTTTAGACTCCATTGTAGTCTCTAATGGGGCTTGGAGGGGATTCTTGCTAACACACCCTCTAAAGGACACTGAGATAGCCTCCGCTAGAAAGACCCCCCTCCATGGCCCATTAGCCCTCAATTGTAGTCTCTACTGGGGCCTCGAAGGGCTTATTGCCCTTTTGTTCCTTGTGTCTAAAGATTGTGTAGGGTGTGGCTGGAGGCGGTGCATGGAGGCGGGACAAGGGTGGCGCTTGCTGCAGAGTATGGGTGGGGCCTCTAAGGGGGCCCTTGATTTATTTTGCCCGGGGGCCCTGCGGGTTCTCAGTCCGCCCCTGGTAACAACTCTATAGTAACACATGAGAATTTTGTAGCAATCCAGTAATACGGGAGTTGGAGTATCTTCCAAGCTTCAGTCAGTACCTGAGAGTGATGGGTGTTTCTGCAGGATGGTAAATGCAATCTTCACTAAGTTGATTGTGAAGTGAGGCCTGAGAGTGATGGGTGTTTCTGCAGGATGGTAAATGCAGTCTTCACTAAGTTGATTGTGAAGTGAGGCCTGAGAGTGATGGGTGTTTCTGCAGGATGGTAAATGCAGTCTTCACTAAGTTGATTGTGAAGTGAGGCCTGAGAGTGATGGGTGTTTCTGCAGGATGGTAAATGCAGTCTTCACTGAGTTGATTGTGAAGTGAGGCCTGAGAGTGATGGGTGTTTCTGCAGGATGGTAAATGCAGTCTTCACTGAGTTGATTGTGAAGTGAGGCCTGAGAGTGATGGGTGTTTCTGCAGGATGGTAAATGCAGTCTTCACTAAGTTGATTGTGAAGTGAGGCCTGAGAGTGATGGGTGTTTCTGCAGGGTGGTAAATGCAGTCTTCACTAAGTTGATTGTGAAGTGAGGCCTGAGAGTGATGGGTGTTTCTGCAGGGTGGTAAATGCAGTCTTCACTAAGTTGATTGTGAAGTGAGGCCATATATGTAAATAAATTAGAAAACTTCATCCCTACCTTTAGTATATGACAGGATCCTTCAGCCATATACATACACCTTGGGACAGACAGTGTTTGAAACAAATAGTTAGTCTATGTGGTCTTTCCTGCTTCACTGCCTGCACAGAAGCAGGGAAACTATATAGGCTGTTTTTTTTGCAAACACTATCCGACCCAAAGTGCACGTATGTGGCTTTTGACCCATATTTATTTATTTATTTATTTATAAAATATTTTATCAGGAAGGATACATTGAGATTTCTCTAATTTTCAAGTATGTCCTGAAAACTAAAGGTAGTGATGAGTTTTTCCTCATTCTTTTACATATACAGCATTGTAGAAAAAAATAAAAATAAATTATGTTCTTTCAAAACCTGATGAAAGAATTAGTATATTAACAATAGTATTGCAATGACAGTTGTCCTTTAAGACATAGTGGGGTTATTTGTAAAACAGAAATTAGAATGCAGTTGCAGACCACAATAGCGAAACTGCATTCCCTACATTTACAGCTAAAAGTAATTGTTAATAAGTCCTATTACATGTTTTTTCTAAAAGATACCCTATCATACCAGATCTACAAAGTTCTAAGTGAATGATCCCTTATGAGAGCTGTGATTATGTGGACTATAACTCACATTAATCATTAATCTAAGCTATAGGCCACTTTATTTGATTATTTGGTTGGGGTCTGGGTGGTTGAGGGGAGCGCGTGGATGGAGAGGGGGAGGGTGGATGGAGAGGGGGAGGGTGGTTGGAGAAGGGGGAAGGGTGAATGGAGAAGGGGGGAGGGTGGAGGGTGGATGGAGGGGATGGGGTGCTAGTGTAAAAATAAATCAAATAACCCAAATAACACCACATTTGTTTAACCCCTAAAGGACAGCGGGCGTTCTATGCTGTCCTTAGGGAACCAGCTCTAAATGCTGGAGGGCGGCATAGAACGCCCAAACCATCCTTTCTACTTACCCAGTCGCCGGCGATCGCGGTATGGGGACTTACCTGGGAGTCCCCATCCGTCCTCTTCGGCCCCCCTGGACAGTTTCCACTGAGTAAAATCATATATAATAAGTGTAGGTGCACATAATATGAAGAGGTGAATTACGCCTGAACAGACATATAGCACAAATTCCAGTTTTTGTTTACGTTTTGTTTTGATCACAACATGTACATTTGGCTCAGTCCTTAAGGGCTTAAAAACACAGTCACTAAAGGGTGGCAAACAGAATCACAAACCATATGTAAAATAACTGATATCTGTGTCACATCCACTGGACTGGAGACTAATATATGAGACTAATTATTAGATCTTTTTTTTTTTTTTTTTTTAAATAATCTTTAGAATAATGATTCATTTTCATTCATACAATTGTGCTGATTTGTGCCTTACCCTACACCTCACAGTCACCGGACCACCCCCACCACTGCCACCAGAGACAACAGAGGAAAGTTTTTCACAATAAGAGGTAATAACAGAATGGATGGGGAATTCTTTACCTAAAGAGGTCTTTTTATCATTTTTTTTTTAATCAGAAAATGATTTTACACCATTTTTTTAAAAATTGTTTTTATTTGTACAGAAATGAGCAAACGAAAAAGCAGCATTACGGATTTCTTCACGAAGGCATTCAATAAAAAAATCACATGATTCTGCAAGTTGCTCCACTCAGTCTGAGCCTTTGCTTCAGCAGGTGGTGTCCGCTGCAGAAACTACACCAGTCAGTGAATCGGCTGTAATGGACATGGTTACTGATGTGGCTGAAGATGCCGATGTCAGTGATAACATTCTTCCAGAATGTTGGGACCAGAATTAGTGGCTAGAATTTAAAAAAAGTACCCTTGGCTGTTTGTAGACAATGGTCTTTTAGGGTGAAAAGTGTGTCGCGAGGTTAAACACCTTGGAGTGTCTGTTTCACAGGGTGTATCCATTTCTAAAGAATGGAGCACTGGTACTATTACACCATATGACAAAACAAAAAAAAGATATGTTGACCTCACTACGTAAAAAAATCCACATACATAAGATTTCAGAAGCACATGTAAAGGCAGGACATATCCAAGCAGTATCCAGAAAGGAGATTCTGCAATCCAATATTGCTGAACAGCAGAAGCATAAGTTTGCGTCCACTACTAAGGTATTTCGCACTGCCTAATTTTGTGCGAAAAAAATCGCCCTTTCACAGACTTCAGAGATCTTATCAGCTTGCAGGTTGCAAATGGAGCTGACTTAGGATGTATTCTCCATGGTGAGTACACAGCAGCACATATAATATATTGCATTGCTAGTGAAATGAGAAAAAAGCTTTGCAAAGCAATTGTTGAGCAGGCTCCAAAAATTTATGTTTATATTGATGAGTCTACAACAGGTTCTACCCATTCAGCGTTAATAGTTTATATTCGTACCTCTGTTAATGGAACCAGTCACTTTCTTTCTCGATTTGCTTGATTTGCCTAAAGCAGATGCACAGTCTATTGAAGCCACTCTTCTAGCTTGTCTTTCTAAATTTGGGTTCCGTAATGACTTTCTTGCCGAGAACTGGATTGGGGCTTGCAGTGATGGTGCAAGTGTAATGCTTGGAAGAAAGTCTGGTGTTCTGGAACGACTCAGTCAGAAATATCCAAAGATTGTGAAATGGCACTGCTTGTGTCATAGGCTTGAATTGTGCATTTCAGATACAATTGATTCTATTCCTGGTCTTCATCATGTAACATCATTTTTTGAGAAGTTGTATGCTGTGTATCATCAGTCACCAAAAAATCTGGCAGAGCTCTCAGAATGTGCAAAAGAATTAGAAGTACAAATTCTTAAAATTGGAAAAGTTTTTTCAGTTAGATGGGTTGCTTCAAGCCAGAGAGCTATACGAGCAGTTTGGGAGTCATATCCTGCCCTACACAGTCATTTCTTGAAAGCAAGCTTAAGCTCAGCTCATAACAGTGAGCAGAAATCTGTATTTAGTGGCCTTAACAAGGTCTTGACGTCAGTAGATTATTTGTTAAACCTTGCAGGGGTTGCGGATGCTGTTCAGGAACTGTTATCTGAAGCTCTGCAAAGAGATTACATCACACTTCCACGAGCTTATCAGCTGATTAATCGTTCAGTTCGTGCCGTTTCAAAAATGAAAGACATGCCTGGCAAACATCTGAAAGAAGTCAAGGAATCGCTGGAGAAAGGGAATTTCAAAGGTGTGACCAGAGAGTACAAAAGGCCAAGTGAGGATAAATCTCCCTCAATTTTATCAAAGTTTGGTGGATAATTTACGCTCCAGACTCTTTGCTTTAACTGCGAGCAACAGACCTGCAGCTTCATCACAGTCAGGTGAATTTGAAACTCTTGTCTCTGAAATTGACATCCTGAATTCACAACGCTGGCCAATCAATTTGGACAGTCCATGGTTTGAAGGTGAAGTGAAGCTGGAGCAGCTGTGCAAAAGATTCTGTTTCAGCTATGCATCCATCGGTGAAGGTTTCAGAGACTACATTGATAATGGTGGTGCAGAGATTCCTGAAAATCTAAAACCAGTGGTGACAATAAGGACCCAACTCAATTAAATTTCATGGCTATTCAGGAAGTCGAGAGGAATTGGAACGGGTAAGATTTTATAAAGAAAATAGGTAAAAATGAGATGATAGATTTTTAACCTAAACACTTTGTCACCATCAGGTCTGAATAGGGATTTTGAGATCTGCCACTTGGCATCATGATAACATATATAGCAGGCATGAGTATGTACACTATGGTTTGATGGGATATACATTTCTGGAATAGTTACACATACCGCAACCACATAAACCTGTATAGTATGTATATAATAGCATTATGAGTCACTACATTAACTATTGTTTTTCTCCTTTTTTGTTCCTTCCTTGTAACTTACTTTCAAATGTTGAATGATGTTTACTATGACAATGACATATGAGACAAACTGTATGCTCATATACAGCATTTGCCTTGGTATGTGTAGCCGATATCAAAACTTTACCCATCAATATTAGGCTTTTCCAACAGCCAAAATGGCTATGCCGGAGTAACGGAAGTGATGTGATGATGTGGTTCACGACATCACTTCCGCAAACAAAATGTTGGAACTTGCCAGGAAACAAGATGGGGACTCACTAATAGGAAGTGACATGATCAGTTCCACTGCGTCACCTCCTATCTACAAGACGAGCGAATGTAGATCAGGTGGTTGCACTACCCATCCGGGATTTACTGAACGTGATTGTATGGGACCACAGTACAACAACCAATAGCGAGGGAGAATGACTGATTTAAAAACGGACAATACCAGGAAGCAGGATCCAATTGAAAAAGACCATTGTAGTGGCGAAACGCGTCTCAGACAGTGGGGACACTTTGGACTACCACCTTTTACTAGATCAAGTATTTTAATAGATTTTATTATATGTTTTTTAAAACTATTTGTTTAATAAAATTTTTTACAAGTCCTCTGTGCATCCCATTTACCTGCTTCTAAAGAATGGTAGTGTTCCCTATAAAGCAAACAAGTGCTTCAAACCAGAGCCAGGTACCTAGGGCTCTGAGCGAGGTGAGCAGAACCATTTATGATATCATTCTGCATGGTGTTACTGATATATTGCAATAGGGGCTGTTTGCCTGTTGGCTCCTTTATGTTCCCTTAAAGTTACCATCATTGGATCTTATGAAAAAGGGAAAAATATCAGCAGAGTACACACCAGCTGTTATGATTTGAGCCTATCTTACTGGCTCAATTCCATGTGAGTGTGATCATTACTACATCTTACACATAAGAGTGCTCAACAATACACACGATCTCTCTCTTTTTGTTTCTCTCTCTTTATATATATCTTCCAATATAAAATTCCTCACACACCCCTGATATAGGGGTAAGTTAATTATCAATTTGTATATAAAGCGCTCCACTTGGAAAGGCTGAAGGTTGTTCATTCACCTAAGGCTGTTTCATCTGTTTTTCAAAGGTGACAGATGGGTGTGAAACGGGTAGTATGATATGAGCATGGGATGCAGTAGTGTCAAAAGCATGCAAATGGATCTGAAACAGGAGTTAAAATCTGAAATGGGCACAAGTATGTGATATACCTGCCAACATTTTACATGGTAAAAGGACATTTTAATTTCAATTGTGTGACTGTGTGATTTGGCTTGGCCAGGGGTAGGGCTGTTTTGACAATAGGTGACTTACTAATAACAATTTATGCAACTAAAGTGTACTTTTAAACAAAAAAAATATATCTTTTTTCTAAACACATTTACTGTTGTTTAAACACATTACTGTGAGTATTATTTCTGTTGAGCCTGTTATACACTCAAACACACCAACAATATGATGCTCCTAGTAAAGAGGGACATTAGGATTGAAAAGAGGGATAAAGGAATGTGGGCCCAAATTAGGAATTGAACCTAGGGACACTTGGGAAGTATTAGTGATGTGAAAAACGCAGAAAGAAAGAGCAAAGCAAGCAGTGGTAAGAAAGATAATTGTAAGTAAAAGCACACCCTTAATGTATGGGGTTCCATGCAAATACATACAGATGTTATTGTAGAGTTAAATCTAAAAGATTTTTCATTATGTTTTTGTCCTAATGCTGGCTTCGGGCTGGGTTTTTAGGTTCAAACAATCAGCCATTTGATATAAATCCATTTGGCTCTGGGGAGATTTTTCTTGACAAATTTAATTTACAATCTCTTTCAGCAAATATGAAACACTTTCTTGTAGGCAACACTGAGTGACTAGCAGGGAAAATGAGAGATTGTTCTGAATCTACACATTATCGCAAAGTATTGGGGCTGCAGATGAGGCAAAGTGAATTCAGTTCACAAATCCATGACGACCAAACTGTGCGTATTATTGGACACAGCCCAATATTGTATTATTCTCTAGGCAAGACTCATATGTCAAAACTAATGCATTTGTGACATTATATGTTTGCAACAAATATGTATAAAAAACAACACAGCAGATATATCAAAATAACCTTTTAATAATAATTTAAGTATATTCTTGTAGCAAAATACATTACATTTAGATCACTTTATTGCACAACAAATCAGTATTGCTTTTTTGTCATTATCAATTATATGCACAATATTTTACATTTATCAAGCACAAGTCCAAATAAGATTTTCTAGACCCAATCTATTAATCGGTAGGCATTTAATGATAACTTCCATTCCCTCATACCCAGCATGGCAATGTGAGAATTAATCATTCTAAAAGCTACTCTTTTCCTTCTCACTTAGCAGAGGTCAAAGGATTAATAGTCACAACATTTCATATTGTCAGGGTTATTCACATAACTCCAAGTAGTGAATTAATATATGGATAGCAATATATAGTAGAAATTGCTTTTTTGGAAGATTTCTCTTTTATAGTCACAGTTTGTCTATTTTAGCCTACACTTTATAATTCTAAGTTTAATGTGCTACTATCTAGGATTTAGTGAGCAAGTCTGAAAGTGTGGGAACAGCAGGGTTCCTGATGCCCCCTCCCATTGGTTGAAATAGAATCCACTGCAACAATATAGTTAATTATTACCCATTAAAACATCACCCACCACACATTTTATTTGGAGAATGGGAGATCCATTGGATAGAGCACCAAAGACACAAGACTTCTGTGAACCCCAATATATTTCAACCTTCTCCCAGTATAAAATGAGTCTGCAGTGCTACTAGGACAGTGTTACTAAAGGAAAGAGCTGATAAAAATCTAGAGGCCAAATTTGGTCAAGAACCACTGCTATAGTCATACCTCACTGTTCTGGCAATGGACATGTGTGGTTACTACTATAAAGCAATCTATATTCTTACATCCTATGTCTGCTCCAGATGAGATTATACAATCCTAGTCATTAGTATTCCCTGGTGGTCACACAGATATTAGTAATGCTCCACAATGGTCCATGATGGGGCTGTTTGAATGAGAGAATGGCCATGGCAGGATGTAGTGCTGTTATTATTCCCACATAGTTTTCAGTCAGTAATTGGTGGCAGTACAGCTATAATGTCTGAGTCTGAAAAACATGGACATCTTGTCAGCACCCTAGGTATTAACCATGGTTCTAATGATGATATCATGGTGTTTGCGATCTATAAAATGCCAGAGGACAGTTAAAAGACACCTTTTATTTTTATTGATATCATGTAACCTGCACGCCTCTATTCTGACAGCTTTGTAGGAGGACCTGGCCAATCACTAAGATATCAGGGAAAAAACTTGAAGTTTGTTGGCAGTCAGTAGGATATCTTCCACACAATATTCTGTATTTGCATTTGTACAGTCAATGAGCATTTAGTTTACTTATAACCTACAAAATTATTCATACAGTTTTCTTTAATGTCTGACACGAACAATTTAAATGGAGATAGGGAATACAGGGAAAAATCCAGTCATCCAAAAACTGCCTGAAACTGCCTACATTGAAACTTATCAGGCTACTTTTCTGCTACCCTGTGAGCACTACAAATATCAGGTCAATGAGGAAAACCTGTTAGTGAACTCTTGTTATAAATAACATACATTATGTGCCATAAGATCTCTTTTTGAAAGCAAGTTCTTTAACCCCTTAAGGACACATGACATGTGTGACATGTCATGATTCCCTTTTATTCCAGAAGTTTGGTCCTTAAGGGGTTAAACCTTTGAGTGTACATGTTAGACTCTAGAGCTTGCAAAGAACAAATATAAATGTTATTGCTAATATAGAAAAACATGTACATAGGGTATACAGAGCAAAAATAAAAGAAACATATTGCATAACAGAATGTAAAGTGAACAAATTAAAAGAGACATAAATGGACATATACACATATATAATGTTAATCCTTCCACCAGCTGCATATACACAGACATACACACACATATATAAATCGTGAACTGTGAACAGTTCAACAAACCTGACAATCCAAAGCAAAAAGGTGGCCTGTGGGATCCATACAGTATTTCATATAAGAACACATGAATAATTTGCTGAATATTCAGACGCTGACAGTTGTGCACGCACCGAGCAATGTTTAGATATAAACAACGGGGCCTAAAACATGACAACTTTATAAATAAAACAATGGTTTATGATGCTGCTATTAAAGTTTCATTTGATTTAGAGCTGGTGCACAAAGGAGCTGACATGTTTCCGGAAGTTATTAGTTTTCCACATCTGCCTGTCGTCTTTAATTGGACTAATTAGTGTCGCGCGGAATCATGTTTAATGCACTGCAGAGAGTGGGAGAACTTGATTTACAGAGCGTCAATTA